CGACCCTCAGGTAGGTTTGGGTAGGGTACATGCCACAAGTAGGGGCCGGATAGGGGTAAGGGTACATGTACGAGGTAGGGGTAAGGGGAAAGGGGTTACAGGGAAGGGATATGGGATAGGGGCAGGCGTTAGTAGGGTTGGGGTAGGGGCAGGAGTATGGAGGACGACTAGGGAGTGGGGTATGGTTAGTTTAAAGGTAACACGAGGGTAGGGTATGGGGACAAGTAGGGGTAGTTATGGGCAGGGGTAGGGGTACGAGCACTGGCTCGGGGTAGGGGTAAGCGTAGTGGGGTAGGGGGTAGGGGTACGCACATACGGGTAGGGGGAGGGCTAGGGGGAAGGGTACGAGTAGGGGCAAGGTTTGGGTGGGGTCTGGGAGAAAAAGTATTAATATCAAGTTTCAAAGATGACCGTTATATCTAACACTTTCATATGCAATGAGAATAAACAAAAAACAAGAACAATATTTGCGTAATATTGATTGGTCAATTATATGTTGGTTTAAAAGTTGTTACATGTGATAAAGATGTTAGAGAGATTAGTATAACAAAAATGTATATCAAGATATCTTTCAATTGTTTTAAACATTTATCCATTTTATATGTCGTATGGCTTTTTCATTTACATATTTATTTTCCCCATTCTATCATATTTCACATTTCAATGTGCTTTGTATCACATGGTGGCATGTTAGAGTTAATTTCTCATGCATCGCACGGGTACTATACTAGTATATATAATAACAAAATAGTGGGAGGGAGGTTTTGGACGGAAACAAAAAGCTAATTGGAAGCTATTGACTCCCATGAGTGCTGCAACTCATGATAAAAACCGTATATGCAGGTTTGGTATTGGGATACATAGGACCTTTGGGTGCTAGCAATTCACACCCTATTCACTCAAAAAAGTAAATGCAAAAAATAAGTCCATGGAATAGATGTGACGGATGCAGGAGAAATAATCAACATGGGACCCATGTGAAATTAATATTTTTTTTAAAGTGCTATAACTTTTTTAATTATACTCTAATTTGTATAAAAAATATATCAAAAGTCATAACTTTTTATAACCTTTCATATGACACCAATATTGGATATGTAAAAAATAAAAAAGGAAAAGTTTCATTTGCTAAAGATTTGTGGATCTAACATTTTTCTCAAATCAATTCAAGTGTTAAAATTAAGATTTCATTGTTAAAATATTTTTTTACATCTCTCAATTATTATTTTTCAAAAATAGATCTCATGGTTAAAAATTTCACTCCAAATTTATTTATTTTTATATCGGAATGTTTGATATTTTAAATCATAATTATTTGCAAAAATAGAATTTGGGGAAAAAAATTGTATAATAATAGAAGTAAAGATTTAACTAAAAAAGAATCTGTTGAGTGAATATATTGACAGTGCTGGGTTGCAGAGAAAAATTGGATTGACTGAGTGAATACATATAAACTGGTGTTAGGTTTGATTTATTGACGGGCTGAGTTGCGGTTAGCCTTACGAACGTAGCATATATAGACCTTTCAATTTCTCATTGTTTTTATATTATGATGATATTGAATATTGATTTCTACAAATAAGCCCACATAATTATAAGAATTTTTTCCTAAAATTTGACAAATAAAAGATTTATGCATAAAAATGTGACTGTAAGTTACTATGTATAAGGTTTATAGTCACTATAGTTTAACTTTTGAATACACTTATAGTCAATAAAATTATCGTGGTCACATTTTTGTTCGTTACTTTTATTTTAGTTATATATTTGGAATTATTTCTAAATACAATGACAAAAATCTTCACAAGCATAAGGAAAACTCAATTGACGGATCTCGATTACTACTATTTGAAAATAATTTATTATTTTACATTATAGGTAAAAACTACTGAATGAATTTTTTTTCTTTGATTCACTGAAGGTATAAATATGAGAAATGTACACTTCTATAGTTCGATTCATATTAGGATATTTTTACTTGCACTGTAATTTCCTGGTCTGATCTGGTCTGGTCTGGTCTGGTTTCTTTGTATTTTTATAACTACCCAAGTCTGATCTGGTCTGATCTGGTCTGGGACAAATTACAGTCCAAATAAAAACATCCTTATTCTTATACTTCTATTGTGAGAGATGCTACTATTTTTTTCAAAATTAAGTATGCGAAGAACAGATTTTGAAATGAATATATTACAAATATAATATTATTAGGAAGAAAAGCTTCCTAATAATATTATGGGGAAATTAAATAAAATACCTTGAACTTTGATTAAGTGTGATTTACTCACCCTGAACTTCTATGTGTGAATGAAATATCTCCTACTTTATTTATATGAGTTTTTAGTACCCCATCATACAATTAACAGGACATATCCTCGATCCAGCTAGCGATAGAAATTCCAGGTTGGCAAAATTCTCCCTCTCTACCCTCCTGCGAAACACTCTGTCTCTCGTATCACAATTACGCCTTTTCTTCTTAGGATGTTTTTACTTGGACTGTAATTTGCCCTAGACCAGTCCAGACCAGACCAGTTCAGACCAGACCAGACCAGACCAAACCAGACCAGACTTGGATAATTATAAAAATACAAAGAAACCAGACCTTACCAGACCAGACCAGACCAGTTCAGACCAGACCAGACTAACAAATTACTGTCCAAGTAAAAACATCCTTACTCCCACTTCACCAGGTCTGAAGAAACCCTACCTTGCAGCGACGACCATGAATGAAGCAGCGGCGACAATTGACTATAGCACAAGACGGCGCCAAATTTCACATACCGGAAGTTTGACATTTGGGAGTGGAGGATTAGGAGACTCGACTTCAAATATAAAGTGGTGTTATCACAAGCTCCCTGCTAATCTCGAAACTATATCGACGGAAAGAAAGAATCATGGTCGGAGATTTCACAGGTGTTCTAAGTGGAAGGTACGAGTTAAATTTGCATTTAGTAGTGGGTTAATTGTTCATATTTGTTTTCATTTAGCTGTTGTATATGTTAAAATTTATAGGTCAATTATTGTCGCTATTTTGAGTGGTTTAACAAAGAGGAATACTCCCCCGTGCTATAGAAGTTATCAATTGTTTGAAAAGGAAGAATGATGAACTTGTTGAGGAGGTGAAACAATTAAAGTTTGACAGTGGAAAAAATCATGACATCACATGGAGAATTGGCAACTAGAGAAAGTTGGGATGAATGCTCAAGGTATATGCAGTTGTCATGGCAAGAGGAAAAAAACGATTGAGCTGAACATGGAAAAAGCTAAAGAGAAGAAGAAGGCATTGAAGACTGAATTGTTGATATTGCAAACTAAGTTGAAGAAGAAAAAAGGAACATATGTATCAAAGATAGAAATTGAAAGTGTAGTAGCTAGATTTGTAGTTGTTGGATACTTAGATTTGTTTTAGTTGGTGTATTTGTGGTAATTGTCTCATTCATTGTAAGTAGTGTATTCATTAGTTAGTTTATGATTTCTTTTGTAAAGGGGATGTCCCCAGTTGGGTTTGGAACTCTTGATTTGTAGTGTATAAACTTACTTATTTGAATTGATCTTTTTGTGTTCATAAAGTGAATGAGATGGTCATTTTAGAAATGTATTTGTCATTGTTAGATATTAGTTACAGGCAATGAATTTATATTGTTATGCATAAACTAGAAAGTAGAGTGCCCTGAAATCAGTTCTGAAATTTTAAGTATAGTGCATTGTTAAGCTTATGCATTAAACTGTTAATGCATTAAACTGAAAATGTAAGTATATGACAGTGTTAAGTATAGTGCAGTAACCTATACATTTGTTAACTAAAGTGCTGAAATATATATTTCTTTTGATTATAGTGCAGCTCTGATCCCACCTATATATATAACTAAAGTGCAGTACAGTGCAGTATATAACTATAGTAGCCTATATATAACTAAAGTGCAGTACAGTGCAGTAGCCTATACAGTTTTAAGTATAGTGCAGCTCTGAAATTTTATATTTCTTTTGATTCTAAGATGAATCAGTTCACTGAAAATGTAAGTATAGTGCAGTAGCCTATACATTTGTTAACTAAAATGCTTTGGTTGTAATTCTAAGCCAACTTATCCCACCATAGTTCTGATCCATCCTCAGAATGGGAAACTCCTATCACTACATTAGTTAGCATTTCATACCCCATTTCATACCCCATTCTCACTAAACAAGAACGTTGTCAATTCTACTTTGAGAATCCTAAAAGTCCAAAGCATTTGGACTGTAATTATAACCTTTAAAAGTCCAAAGCATCAGTACTGACAACACTGGTGCACAGAATGACAATCAGTTTATACTCACTCACTACTTATCCAATTTATTAGAAACCTCATACAACAATATATATAATTGAATTGTATATGGAACACTAGTTTCTTGCTCGCGCCATGCGCGAGGAGGAAATGCCCAATAATATTCTCATAGATATAGGGGCGGAGCCAGACACTGGGCCAGACTCGGCCCGTACAAAGAATATTTTTGAAAAAAAAAAATTTACACACAATTTTTACACTGAAAATAAAGACATTTTTAAAATTTGGGCCACTGCATAGATATAATAGAATGAAATGGTTGTTAGTAAATAGAGTTGTACGGTTGTACCACTTGTGCGTACAATTTTAAATAACTGATTTTCTCATTACTTTTTTATGATGAGTTAATTGTTTATTGTGTGAGAAAAGTATCATCACACAAGATAAATATTTTAAATGACACCCCTCCCCCTCATTCTTTAGTAATAAAAACTCTTATATACTAAAAAATAAATTCAATGCATTATGCAGAAAATATGAAAATTGACGATGATATATTAACCTTAGCTTTCAAGAGCTTTGTTACAATGATATCAAATGAATGTCATGTGCTTCTCATCTCATCGTTGGACTTTTTCTCCATATTGAGGTTTAGCACTCACATATGTTCACATGTTTTTATGGTAAAAATAGGTAATATAGTGCTAAAACACAATTAAATATCAAAAGTACACTTTTCCCCTTGAGCCTATAAATTGAGAGCAGTAAACACCACAACTTATAGCTTGGAATCCATAGTATGTTAGACTGTTAGTGAATTCGTAAGCATAGAAGATATGTTTGGTATGATTTTTTTTACTGCAATAACATATTTATAATAACAAAAGATGAACCCTTTTCCACCTTAAGTTTAGTAAAAAGTTGGGCAAATCTTGGCCAGATTGTCAAAATTCCCAGCATGAACGTGGATATATAGTAAAAGTACTTGAATAGTAAAACCACAAATTAATTCTCAAGAAAAAAAACTGAATCTTTCTTTAATCACCAAACCATATAGCAGCAGCCCAGGTGGGTCTCTCTAGATGTGAGGAGCAGCAAGACTACCACATGTTGAAAGGCAGGGAAAAAACAGAACCTGCAAAATCTTGTTCAAAACCAAGTAAAACCGCATGCACAACACACCATCTATCACACATTCACACATTCACTCAGTTTGGCTATTACTTCACTAGTTTTATGTTCTTTATAGATTCTTCTAGCAATGTCCCTCCTCTACTATAGTTGTACGCTTGTACCAACAATCCATATGATAAGAATATAAAAATAGCAAAATATATGTAGTACATATCAGAATCTATCTAGTTCTTATTTGATTTATCTAGTTTTTGGCGTGTTAATATGTATTGCTAGTATTTGGCGTGTTAACATGATGTGGTTGGTTCTACTTGAACAATTTGACTATTTGGCATCGATTTGGTGATTTAACAATATATCAAAAAGATCTATAACCTGTTATTTTTAAATCTCCAAGAACGATCTACAACTCTAATTTGGATATGAGTGGTGTTATTTCTCCGTGGGGGATTGATCTGATTTTTAGATTTTCAATCTCATCAAGCATTTTGTAAGTCTCCCCACTTACGGTCTACAAGGAAAAAAAAACTACTAATCAGATACCATGAAGTATAAACTCATATATTAGAAATCTTTTGTTGATGTGAACACGAGTTAATCAATGCATCACCTGCATGTTCATGAGCAATCAATTTCATGTTATTGGAAAAGTGTTTACTTCACAATAAAATAGAGAAGTTGAAAATTGTATTGATACAACATTAATAACTAAAGAAGAAGACAACAAATAAAAAAAACTTTTCTATAAGATTTGATTTAGTTATTCACAAAAGTTTCAATATACCGAATCAATTTCTACCTTTCTCCATGTTATTTATAAGTAGGACTCACATTTATGAACACTCATATCAGTTCATTCCACTAAGGTCAATTATTATAAACATGAATGAAAGTAAACATCCACTTTTATCCCTTTTTCTATACCCAAATGCTCCACATTCAGGCTTAAATTTCCTAGAAACGTAGGGGCCTGCTCCCATAAGACCTTTAATCCCTTTTACCGTTGGAATATAAAACTAAAAACTTTTTTTTATTATTTCTAAATCCAACAGGTATTTGAATACATTTTTATTCATCTTTTTAGAGCATGATAACATGTTTGGATCCACTGTGACTCTGAGGTATAAGTACATTAAATGACATCATATCTCACATAAATTACAATGAACGTCATTCAGGCAAATTCACAGACACTTGGTGAGCACCATTTTCCCCATATAACATCACATATAACTCAGACTATCAAGATCGGACCTATGACCCTAAAAGGCAACCACATATGAAGGGGAACAGAAATTAGAGAAGGACAATACTACATTTAAGATATCCATTGTATGATAAAAGGGAAAATTTTCAATATAATAAATAACTTACGAGTATTCCAATCCAATGTGCACAATCTATTGCCAGCATGAGTAGAACATAGTAGAAGCTAAGTGTATTTGTCGTATCACAAGTGATTGAAATTATGCCTCCTCTTCGAAATTAAACACTACATAAAAACAACACAGAGAGAATGAATGGTAGTCTGGTAGATTTAAACATATACAGATATAATCGAACACTTACATTATCAGACATGTTTTCCATTCGACTCCTCCAGCTTTACCAACCTGGTAGTCTGGTAGATTTAAACATTTAAAATTCAAACATAGTTGGATGACACTGTCGAATTCGAGATCGAGATTATGAAAGATGAAGATGCTGAAGGAACAAATTTAATAAAGAGCCGGGCGGTTACCTCCTGGGAGGTTCGGTGGACGGGAGAGCTGTGTGATGGCAACATTGGCAAGGTTGGGAGTGACGAGAGATAAAAGAACGGACTGTGTATTCAAGGCTAGGATTAGAGAGGAAGATGGAACGGATGGTAGCTAGCGCACAGATGGAAATTAAACGGAAGTTACGCCCTTTAATAATAGAGTACAGACGGCAAAACATATAGTACCACTCAATTAAGCTTGGTGATTACACCAACATTTTTTTAATCCCTTAAATACCCTAATCTTCATTGGCCATTATAAGCTTTTAAGAAAATGAATAATAAGAACATCAGACCTGACTACATAAGGAGAAATAAGGAACAAAATGAAGCAACAAATGGTTTCATTGCCTTACCATAAAGTTTGTCAGAACATAGCAATACATGACCTTTACAAAAAATGGCCTATACAGATAAGCAAAAAACACCTAATACTGGCCTGCACTGATGTAAAAAGATGTAGCAGTAGTTTGCAAAAAAAGAACCAACATTGACCTTCACAAAAACACAACTAACACTGATCTGCAATACACTGATTGACCAACTAGGTTTAGCATGTATATTCTCATAATCTTGTCTATTGCACGTATGGTTAGGATTCAAAGACTTCACAACGAATGACTCTTTAAGTCCGTCCCAAGAAGCGTATATTCTCCAGACACAGCCCTCTTTACATCTGGCTGCAATCTTCACCTTTTCACTTTTACTAAACCTAATGCTATACCCTGCAATTATGGCATACCTCACAACTTGTTTTTTGAAAATTTCAGGTGAAGCAAACTTCATTCCCACTTTCCATACTAACATTTTGAGTGTAGCATCATTATCAACTCCGTATGTAACACTCTCCTTCGCACCAATCTCACCTTCATCCTCACTTCTAGTTGGTGTGACCAAATAATTTTCAGAATTATCACTATCATAAAATGGTTCAAATCCATCACATTGATTTTCAGCAAGCAGATTCGAATTGTAGCAGCTTAGCTTTTTTCTACTACCAATCCATTCTTCATCACTAGAAGAACCACCACTACAAATATCCTCTCTTTGAACAGTTTCACACTCATTCTCTTCACCCCCTTCCACTTCACTAACCAAATAAATTCATTTTATGAATTCATACTAAATGAACTTTACTTACCGCATCACTATGAAAATCCCCAAACAAATCCAAAGAGTGAAACTGCTCTTCAAAATATATATTTTGTATATCCTCAAAAATGCATTCATAAGAAGTATAAAACCAGAATATAAATTGTCAATGTTATTACAATTTACTTGAGATTTGTCATTTTCTTGTTATACAACCAAGATTCGTAGTAAAACCTAATACGAGTCACTAACCCTCTTGGCCCATAGTTTACATTTGTTGGGCTCATATGAAATTTGTCAGTGAATCTGCCCCAAATCCCAATAGTTTGATGGACCAAGCTTACGAACAGCCTACTCGTTCCGCCCAATCAGTTACGGGGTATTTAACGATATATGGCCCATGAGAATAAATGGAAGCGCATGCCCGATTCTAGGGGTGGGAAAAACCGAACCGAAACCCGGAAACCGACCCTGGACCAACCCGAATTATGACCCCAGTCCGGGTTTTTTCTTTTTAACCGGCCCGAATTAAAAATACCCGGACCGAACCCGAAATTCCGGGCTCATTAACGGGCCTTAAAATCTATAACCCGGCCCGGACCGAAAAAACCCGAAACAATTAGCTTTAATATAAAATTAATATAATATATGAATATAAATTTATAAATATTTCCTAATATATGATTATAATCACGGTGGATAAAAAACCATTTAGTAACTTTTAGTGACTACAAATATGTTCAATTTAATTAGCATAATGACCATGAAAATATATTTATAGGAACTCTATTTACATTTTTGTCTATAAATTTTATTTCGTAATATTTTTAAGAACCTAAATTATTTATTTATATGCATCTTAAATAAAATATTAAGATAATTATCTTCTTTGGATTTGAATTGTTGGTGATTTTGAAGACTAATATTTGTGTTATTATTTGCGGTTTGTATTTTTCATTAATTTTATTTGAAAATATGTGTTAAAATATAAAAGAACAATGAGATAGTTCACGTTCGGGCTTTAACCGGCCCAACCCGAACCCGGACTACCAAAAACCCGACTCGGACCGAATATGATGGGCTTTATTCCGGTCCCTAATTTTCATAACCCGAGACCTTCCGGGTAATTTCCGGGTTTAGCAAAAACCCGACCCACACCGGACCAATCCCACCCCTACCCGATTCCACGTTGTTCGTGTTCACCGTGAAACACGTTCAGCTGTGCAGAAATTTCGCATTTCCGTTCACCATGAGAGTTTCAATCCATCTGCTCAGAATGGGAAGAAGACGAGACAATTTGGACCAAGAAACGAAATCAAATAGAAAGGAAGTAGGAGAAAAAGAAAGAGATGGAGACGAGGAAGGTGGTGCTGGTTTTGGCTGCGCTGACGACCGTTTCCACCGTCGTCGCTTTAACGCTTTCCGTGCGGAGCTTGAAGCGACAGAGCGAGCGGCGGCGGAGGCAAGCGCAACGGATTATCCGGAAATTCGCTAGGGACTGCGCCACTCCCGTTCACAAGCTTCGTGCTATTGCTGACGACGTCGTTTCTGAAATGCAGAACGCCCTGTCTTCTTCCAATCAGAAATGCAGCAGCTTACAAATGCTTCCTTGCGACGTCGCATCACTTCCTACTGGGTACATAATATTTTCCATAATAGTCTGTATATCATTGATTATATATTCATGACTTCGTTAAAGGATTATAGTACTGATTATTTGCCCATTATTTACTCTGTATTGGGCTTGTCATGTGGCTGTAGGGAGGAGAAAGGATTACATTACGGGATAAATCTTCGGGGAGACAATTTTTTAATTTTGCAAGCAAAACTTGAGGGTAAGAATGAACCCGTTACAGAATTGTCCAGACACGAAATTTCTATTCCTCAAGATGTAATCAATGGGACTTCAAAGGTATGGTGATGTTTCCATAATAAAAGAACCTCTGAGCATTAAATTTTCTATTTTACAACCCCACCCTTAATTATGTTTTTTTTAAGGATTTATTTGACTTGATTGGTCTGGAGCTAGCGAAATTTATCACAATGCGTGGAGAGAGCACAAAGAATTTGCAAGGAGGACAAAGAATACTTGGATTCACCATATCACAGCTTCCGGTGGTGGAATCTTCAGCCTCAATGGATGCTGCCATCAAATTGAATGGTTCATCCATGGATGACATAATTAAGGTTTACCCCTCCCCCACTCCAACCACACACAAAATATAATATCCATAATTAATGCTATTTAGTACAATGCATGCGAGTACATTAGTTTACTACTCAAAGCTTATTTCAGTGTATTGCGTTGCTTCACTGCTCGATGATAACTTTTTTCTATTGTACTCATGTTGGTAGTGAAACCTGCAATTTAGACTCAATTCGACCTGTGCACATCTCTCTCTCTCTCTAACTAAGAAGGATTCTCGTAGGACTAAATTGGATCTAAGTCTATTGCTTTGTGTCAAAGCTGGATTATACACTCTTACTTAATTTCATCCTCAACTATGAAAATTAGACTTAGTTTGGTCCTGAATTCCTGATCATAGTCACATAGTTCGCAGAACGCTTCAGTACGGAAACGAGGATCGGGGATGTGGTTCGTTAGGTCTAAGGTATCCGTTTCGGAGGGGGGTAGGTTCATTCCGTAAGGTGTACCTTATATAGTTATATTTTGGTACTATAATAAAACTGAATTACAGATTTCATAAGTCATAACATTAAACAAAACAAATTGAATAAGCATAAGTCATAACATTAAACAAAAGAGAATTTACCCAAAATAGGACTAAAAAGGTTTGAAAATTCCAAAATAGGACTGCCATGTTTTTATTCCCAAAATAGGACTAATTACTGTCATGTTTTGGCAGTACCAGAGTACCAGACTTCAAACATGACAATATTTTCCAAACTTGACAGTGATTACTCCTATTTTGGGAATAAAAATCATGGCAGTCCTATTTTGGAATTTTCAAACTGTTTTAGTCCTATTTCGGGAACTTTCCCTAAACAAAATAAACCTACCTATGATATTCTTTATGATAAACAATTGAAGCTAACATCAAACAGCATGGGAGGAGGAAAATTTCCAAAGCTCCCCCGGTGTGGGAACAATGAATATAAGAAGAATAAACAATTTTTTTGTTTAAAAGTTGAAAAGCAGCGTCGCTGGGTATGGAACCCTTGCCCAACGGTACAAAGAGTGTTATTGCACTGTTTAACCAACTCACCAATGACAACTTTGTGTTATTATCTAACTATTAATGTACTTGTTCAATAATGCACAGAACAAACATACTAATACTTATATAGTCTTGCCATTCATATACACTGTATGATTCATTGTGAAATTTGATTACAACCCCATTTTTACCTTTGTGTCTTTTGTCCTTATATAACATTATTTTGTTATTAATTATTTTGTTCACTTTAATTAACACATCATTGTATGACTTAAACCGTTAAACGTATAATGCTTTGACTTAATAATGTTAACTTTTGAGTTTTCTTTTATTTAATATTTTTAATAATTTTTTATTTAATTATTTTGTAAAATCTTACGATTTACGATTCAATTTTTAAAACCTTCTACCGATTCGATTAAAAAATAGGATTTTAACAACCTTGCAAACAGTTTAGTGAGCCATTTTGCTTTATTCCATCATATTCCCAAGCCAAAAATAGTGAGTCTTTAGATCCATTGGAAGTGAAGGAAAAAATTTTAGAAAACAGACAAATGATTGTATTTATAAAGGAAAAGTGGGATTTGTTAGAGAGCCAAACCAGTAGCTAGTACATTCTGAAGGAAAGAAGAAAGAGTCAAAAACCCACTTTTGTGCCTCAGACATAGAAATATGTTGCCTCTGCCAAGCAGTGGGCAGAGATATATGCCCACGTGTGCTGAATCTGCCGATGTTTTTGCAGAAACAACGTTGGTGTCAGGCACTCTAATAAAAGTTCTACAGCCTTTTAGAATCACCTCCAGATATGAAAGGTTACACTAATCTCTAATTAAAGAATCAACATAGCTTGTGCATCCATCTCAAAAATCACATTGCTCAGCCCTGCATTTTTTAAACCAGCTCAGAGATTTTTAAAATTGTATGATTCTTAAATTGGTCCAAATTTCATTACAGAAGACCATATTGTGTCCAATTTAAAGTTAAAACCCAATTAAATAATAATGCATCTCCTAGAGACTATATCCGACACTAACACTAAAATGAAACTAAATGTGCTGTTAGAACTGGAATGCATCACAAATAGTTACAACGAATTTTATATCATATACGGATATACTATTCTAACGGCCCTTTGGGCTCTTATGAATTGTTATAGCCTCTCTTAACTATAAGTGCTCACACTTTTTGTAGTCGGTGAGCTCTTTTGTTGGTAGATACTAGATAGTAGGGTTGTTTTTGGCTCTTGATTTGTTTCTGACAGTTTATCTAATGGGACGGTGGGTTATACCCCCCCCCCTCCAGTGTGCAGTGTGATTTCATTTCTGATATAAGTGTATAATTTTCCCTTAAAAGAATGTGCTGTTGAGTATGAGCTTATAATGTTCTATAATAAGACCCCATTTTCGTGGTGTAAAATTTGGCTAATATTGCGATGCAATAAAATGTATAGAATCCAAACTCTATACAACTAAAGAAAAGTATGTCTAGAATCAGTTTACCCGAACAACTATACCTTACAGGAGCCAATTACTATGATTTTGGAAATGTTTCACAAGTTTTTACTCATGAACCCACCTTTTTTAATCATCTAGTAGTTAGCTTCAATTGTTTCTCTATGATATTCTTTCTAACTAATGATGTGTATATATAGAACCAAGAACAGGGAGTAGAATCACATAGGTTATGATATCTTCAACCTAAAATCCAATGAGCAAAAATAGAATGTCTGCGTGTCACGATAAAGTTGGAGAGAAAATCAGTTTAGCACTTCAAGAGCTTACCAATGTAGACTTATAAGAACTTCTCCATTTAATTCTGATGGTACATTCTGTAGTTTTATAGACCCCTATATTCTGGTGTAAACTTTGGCTGAAACTGCTCATGGGTAGAATTTTCTTGAACTTTATGGTCTCTATGTTTTGAGGTGAACCCAGGTTCTTCTAGGATTAATTCTAGGTTCACCTTTTTTTTTTATCTTGTGACAAGAACCTAGGTTTAAAGAGAACCTAGGACTCTTTGCATTGAATGTATCAGAACCTATAAAGTACGACTTAGCTGACTTTGAATGAAATTGCCAGGCAAAGGAAGTGTATGTGAATGAAATCAATGAATGTTTGGAAAAGCATGGTGTGGAAATGCGAGTTCTTGCATTGGTAAGTTTCCAAGTATGTTTTAACATTCCTAATTTCACGTTAAGCTAACTGCATGCAACTTTGGGACAACTCTTTTTTAAAATTGTACAGGTTGATGACACAATTGGAGTTTTAGCGGGAGGAAGATACTACAGTCGAGAAAGTGTGACAGCTGTCACCCTAGGAATGAGCACCAATGCGGCTTATGTAGAATCATCTAATGCAGTAGAAAACTGGCATGGCGAGCCTCATCAATCTAGTGAAATTGTGAGTTCCTCCAAATATAATAGTAGTACATTCTATGGTTGGATTTGTTTTTATTTTCTTGAAAAAGAATGGTTTGGTAGTCATATGATATGATACGATGTGAAAGACTTGCGAATAAAAGATGAGTTGACGTGTTTGTTCTACATGGTAGGGATGAAATTAAAATTAAAAAAACTCATAAGTTTTGCGTTAAACTAATGTTAATTTAGAATTTCCAGTGACTCTGAGCTATGAATAAAGAATAAAAAATGTTGACCAGTTGTTAATGCGAAGTTTTAAACTGCCGTTCGCAGGTTGTTGATATGCAATGGGGAAACTTCTATTCAAGTAATCTCCCCATTACAGAGTTTGATGTTTCTGTAGACACTGAAAGTTCAAATCCTGGTTGCAGGGTGAGATTATTTCTGTAATGGTTTTCTGTTTTGCCTTCCCCTATATATGTGATCATATCAATCATTTCTAAACATTTTGTTTCCAGAGATTGGAGAAGCTGATTTCAGGCATGTATTTAGGAGAGATTGTTAGAAGAGTGTTGCTGAAGATAGCTCAAGAGACATGTTTATTTGGTGACCCTGTGCCACCTAAGCTAGCAACTCCATACCTGTTGAGGTAAGATTGTGTGTTTCATTTGATATTTTTTTATTTCTTTTCTGAAGGCCTGTTTAGTAGCTTGTTTTTTCTAGTTTATCAGTCATATTTCGTACCAAAAGTCTGAGTATGGTTTCTTACAGCTCACCTGATATGGCTGCAATGCATCAGGACATGTCGGAGGACTACGAAGTGATCAATGAAAAACTGAAAGAGATTTTTGAGGTAAACCCTTATTTTCTCAGTTTGATGGAATAGTCTTAGTCAAAGTTTTATACTCATAGGTCTCTTTCTAAAATCTCTATGAGTGGTTTTTACAAGATTCTCCTGGTTTCAGATAACCGCCTCCACTACAATTTCAAGGGAAATAGTATCAGACATATGTGACATAGTTGCTCAGCGGGGAGCTCGGCTAGTTGGGGCCGGGATCATTGGAATATTAAACAAACTGGAGAGACTTAAAAACAGAATAAGCATAGTTACCGTAGACGGTGGACTATATGAGCATTATCGGGTCTTCCGCAGCTATCTCAACAGCACAGTATGGGAATTGCTTGGCGACGAGCTCTCTGACAATGTAATACTCGAACACTCTCATGGCGGTTCCGGTGCGGGGGCTGTTTTCCTAGCCGCTTTGCATTCCCAACACTCGGATTCCTCATAACGTTAGTTGTTTTCTTCTTCTGCACTTTTAGGCTCTGCTTGGCTGGTAGCCTTTATGTTAGATTATAGTTTAATTAAAAAATTCTTATAATTTTAGAAAGAGATTTAGGATCTAACAGCCAGCCATGATACACTGTACTCTGATTGCTGGTACAACTTCTTAGTTTTGGATATTAGTAGGTTAAGTAGCTTTTGATTTACTTATTTAAATAGTTCTTACCAAACACATTTCATTAATTGCAACCATTCATTCAAATTGTTTTGAATGAATGGCAAGGGTGCACTGACCACTTATTCATTTCCAAAAGAGACAAAGTTTGGAAATGGAAAGAGGATCCAGCAGTGCCAGCTGACAATGCTTCTGCAATGGTTTTAACCTGAAGTGGCAAAGCGTGAACTTTTTTTTGCAACCCTTGGACACTAATGATGTCCACATTAAAAAAATGAGTTCCACCCAAAGAGACGTAATTAACAACCACCCTGCCCTTGTCCACAATGTTTCTTCCCTTTCACCAAAGGTTTTAAAAAACAAACGTTTTCCCATCATAATTCATGTTTATATAGAGATCTCATTAGCAATAGGAATGCTCTGCAAAAAAACCTTAGTTTGTGATGGCCTTATGTCCCTAGCAATGTTTAAACTCGGGAGTATGTTTTTATCCCATCACTGTGCCGTTCAAGTAGATTTCAGGTAATAGTGATGAAACATACATAAATGGTCCTAAATAGGAGTAAAAACGTTTTGAAATTCCAAAATAGGACTATCATGTTTTTTGTTTCCTGAATAGAAGTAATCTGCCACGTTTGAAAAAAATGTCATTTTAAAGTCTAGTAATGCCAAACTTGGCAGAAATTTACTCCTATTCAGGGAATAAAAAATATGATAATCATATTTTGATATTTCAAAACGTTTTGCTCTCATTTAGAGAATTCTCTCCACACTTTCCTTACCGGTGGACGGTCAAACCGCAGTTTTCATAAACTACCGACTTTAGTGGAATAGACATGTAATCACAAAATCCCTTTGCTTGCTAAGTGTTTGTCAACCTATTCACAGTAGAATTATTGCTTTAGAATCGACCATTTACATTATTACATAGCTAATGGAGTTGGTGTAATGGATGAGCTGTTGTGATTGGGGTTTTAGTTCTTTGTGTTACCCCCTTTTAATACTCCGTACTTCTTTACTATAGATTTTAATAATTATGATCATTTTATAATGAATACTGTTTGTTCTCTCTTCCCCTTCCATAACTAGGACAGGAAAATAATGTGAAAGGTAGTCGATAAATAAATGGAGAAAATAAATAAAATACCCCCAACTTAACATAAGTGTGAGGTCTCCACCCTATACTTGTCAATGATAAAATAATACCCCCAAAATGTGAAAGCTGAGATAACCGTACCATGTGTGAAAATAAACATGCAATAAAACACCTAGTTGTCATTTAAAATCCACGTCACCAATGAAATTTCTATTTGGAGTAAAAATTAAAATCCATGCTTCTAATTAGGGAAAGCCTGAACCTGAGAAATTTCAAAAACTACTCTAATAGTAGACCGTCGTTCTTGAGTTCTCAGAGGATAGAAGAGATGATGACAAAGTTTCGACCGTCAGACGCCGGTTGCGCGCGGTGGGGTTCCTCCGACCACCTTCTCCGGTCGCCTGCTTTGAGGGGTGATTCGTTCCACCACCTGCAAATTTCGACCGTTTATGTTGTCTTTGTGGCGAGAGTAACGCGTCCCTGGACGATACGTGGAGCCTAGCTTACGAGCTTTGGTGGATTGGTCTCCTATTTTGGAATACGGTAAATGAGGTGACAGACTTTCAAATCCTGGGTTTGAAACCTCAGTTGCAGACACCTGCTGTGATGGTGGAAGCTCCTGACCTATAGTCGATTCTCGTCCCTGCTTCATTCATGGTCGTTGTTGCAAGTTAGGGTTTTTTCAAACCCTGTGAAGTGAGAGTAAGAGATAGGCGTAAACGTGATCTGAGAACGCGGGAGGGTGGAGGTGGGAGAGTTTTGCTAACATGGAATTTCTATAGCCAGCTGGATCTATTCAAGAGAGATAAATGGAGAATATGTCATGTTAATTGAATGATGGGGTACTCAAAACTCAAATTAATAAAGTGGGGGATATTTAAATAACACATATAAGTACAGGGTGGGGAAATCACACTCAACCAAAGTTCAGGATATTTGATTTATTTTCCCCTAAATAAATAGGGTTGGTATCTAGCTATGATCTTACCTTGGATTAGACTTATTTTGTTGATCATGTCAATCAAGAGTGGGAGATTGAATATGCACCAAAAACTTTCGATATTTAATGACTACCAAATATTCGAGAATGATAACGCACCAAAAACTTTTGATATTTTATGAGTACCAAAGGGATTTTGTACATCTTAATTCCCCAATCTCGAGGAACCAATGTTGATTATACTTCGTACGTATATATCTTGCTCCTAATAATAATAATGAGTAAAATCCAAGAAATAGTCCATGGAAGGCCAGGCAAGCTTCAACCACTACTAAGAGCTGGACCACTGCAAACCTTTATATGATTAATAACAACAATAATAATACAATTTGTACATCTACTTAATTGGCTGTTGTAGCCCGTGATGAAAGAGCATCATAACCCTCTTGATTCACGTGTAAACAAATCATAATTTCATTGGTTATTATTATTTTGATTTATGAAACTAACTCCCTATTTCTTCTAGCCTTAAGATTCACAACACAATTAATTATTTGAATTTTTAAATGAACGGTCGAGAACGTTTACTATTGTGTTTCTGCTACTTTCACTCCCTAATTAACTTGTAACTGCGGAGTAGTATACTACGTACTTCGTATTAGATAAAGAAAGAATTCCTAAATTAACTTTCTGACAATGGGTAGTGACAGAGCAAATTTTAGCGTGCATGGGTTTGTCGTAAATCTGGATAAAAGATCTGTGGAAGGCAAGTGAGACTGAGCCACGATAATTCGAGGAAGAAACAAAGATGACACAATATCCTGAAAGTTGAAACACATCAAAGTTGGGAATATTATGTTTGCAGAAGTGAGCTAGCGGAATGTGATTTCAGGCGTCGAAAAAAACATTGAGCATTTGTGTTTTAATTTAAAGAGTTAATTCTTTAAATAGGTCAAAAAAGTGGACCAAGAGCATAAATAGGACTGCATGTTTTTTATTCTCCCTAGTAAGACTATTTATGTGTAGTTGGACAAATATACCATTGAGGCGTTTGAAATGTTTTAATTAATAATAAAATCATAAAAAATAATAATAAACATAAAAAAACGTCAAAAAATATAAAAATTTACGAAATATTTATAAAATAAAAAAATTAAAAAATAAAATTAAAAATTAAAAATTAAAAAAAAAAGGAAAAATTGAAAATAATAATCCCAACTATTGCCGGTCCGCTGAAAATAATCCCAACTATTGATTATTTTTGTATAATCCCAACTATATAGACTATCCGCCAATAATGGTCCATGACCATATATTACCTCTATAAAAAGTGAATTTTAAATAGAAATTAAGCGTAAAAATTAAAAGTTGAGATTATTTAGAGGGATTACTTGTTATATCTCACCCCATCCACTTTAGAAACTACAAGAATTTATTCATAGGGACCATTATTGGCGGAAGGTCCCTAAAGTTGGGATTATTCTGTAATAATCAATAGTTGGGATTATTATGAGCGAACCGCCAATAGTTGGGATTATTACTATCAATTTTTCCAAAAAAAAAATGTAAAAAAAAAACGCCGCCGCCTCTGTCACCCCCAGCACCATCAGCTCCCATCACTGGTTGGAAATCTGCAACATTTTTAGTAATGTCATAATAATGGCAGATTCAATGAGAATTTTGGCATTATGATGAGTAATAATGTCATATTCTTGGCATTTAAGAAAACAATGACATTTTTTACAAATAATGGCAAAATTTTCACCGATCAGATTAATCCATTCTTTTTTATTTTTATGGGTTTTCACTATTTTTTATTAATTTAATTAAAAAAACTGCCAACAATTTTAGTAATGCCATAATAATGGCAGATTCAATGAGAATTTGGCATTATGAAGAGTAATTATGCTATTTTCTTGGCATTTTCGAGAAAAATGGAATTTTTTATATAAAAGTGACAGAATTTTTACCGATCGAAGGTGGTGGTGCTGGGAAGCGGTGGGAAAGGTATCCATAATTTTTTAAAATTTTTTCTGGATTTTAACTAATTTTTATTATGTTTTTTAAAAAAAACTCAAAAAAATTATTTTTAAATTTTTTATTTTAAAAATAATGTTTTATTATTCTTTTTGTGCTCTTTTAAAAAAAGTATGATTTTTATTATTTTTTAAGATTTTATTATGAATTATAACATTTGTTATGAAATAATACCCTTAGGCAGTGTTTGATATCTTATAGAGGGCGGAATCTCATGCCCGGAATGTACATGTGTTTGGTTCGCGGGTTTGATTTTTTGTTTGAGAATGTTACATTCCCAAAAGTGAAAAAGGTGATCACATTAACAGGCATGTCAAAACCACCAATGCCTTAGGTTTTGTAAGATTCCTGGTGGCTTATTAATTTTCTTCCCAAAAAACCCATGTTTCATTAATCAACATATCTAGGGGTGGACTGGGCCCGGTCCTGTTCCGGTTCCGGGTTGGGCCCGACCGGGCTTGGCTTTTTGGGAATGTAGCCCGGGACCAGCCCGGCTATTGACCGGTACGGATTCGGGCCGGTCTACCCGCCCGGGTAGCGGGCCGGGCCAAGTACATTTTTCTAATTCATGTTTAAAAATTAATTCAATAAGTGCTACATATAATAATAATTAAAGTATATTTATTTGAAGCATGAACTACAATCGAGGATTGAGAAAAAAATTAAAAAATGAAATACATTTTCTAATAAATAATAATTGATCGGAATCTCCGCCACCGTCGGTTGTTGTTTCCTCCATAAAGTGTTGGGTGGAGGTGATGCTAAGTTCTTGAGTTCTACGTTGGGCCTTCAACCAATCGTGGTAGCAAACAAGCATCTCAAGAGAGTTTGCGCTCAATCTCGTTCTATAATCCGTTAGCACGTTGCCAGCTGCTCAATTTCTTGTTAGATACATAGAAAGCTCTTTAACTGAACTCTGTTCAACAATAGGAGTTGATTTACTTTTTTTCATAAGATTGCCAAATGTAGAATTCAAAAATGATTTTCCTTTAAATGAAGATGTTCGTGTCTGGGGAGGGGGTGCGTTTCCATATTGTGCATGAAACTCATTAAATAATTGATAAGTTTAATGTGTTAAGAAACAAATACTTAAAGGGCGTTCAAGTAATTCACCAAATATGCAATATAAGATATCATTCAACCAAATAACTTAATGTGACATTCCTATAAGCGTAACCAAACACAAATGGGCTATACATTAATCACATTCTCATCTATCTAACATACCCAGTAATCTAACATTCTCATGGTAATCTGACATCCCTTGAACCAAACATACCCTTAAGGGCATTTATGGTAGGAATGAATTGTTTAGTCTTATTTGAGATGGTTAAAAATGTAGTGGTCCTATTTGTGCATTTTAGGTTATTTTTAGTCTTATATAGAGCAATTACTATAATTTAAATCGTAAAAACATTTTACAATTTTAAATAGGTCTGTCATGTTTTTATCTAATAGAAAATACTATCATGTTTAAAGACAGTAATGTAAAATTTAATAGTAATTATTCATATTAAGAGAATAAAACATGTCAATCTTATTCCGGAATTCAGAAACATTTTTACTCATATCAAGAAAGTGTTCCAAAATACGTGAGGCATGGTAGGCGTTAAGACCAAGCCTCGAGCCTTTGAAGCCTAGGTAGGAATAAGCGAAGCCTAGACATGAAAAAGTATTTCAGATTTTTATTGATAATTACTACTACGCACATAGTATTTTATACTCTGTATCTAGTAATAAATCAAGAAAAAAAAATGTTCAAAAATATTATATAAGACTGAGCTTAATTTTTACTTAGTCAATATATATAATTTTAAATTTACACAAAGTGCAAATATAAAATGATACTCTATTAGATTCCATGTATAGCATGTTTTGAGCGGTGAAATTAGAAAGTAAGGATACGTGTCGATTAATATAATGTGAACCGCCGTGAAATGTTAGTTTTGACTTTTTTAAAACAGTACTATGTGTCTGTTTTCAATCCTAATCTAAATCTTACGAGAAGTTGAAGACTTGCATGCTAATCGACGGCGTGCAACTGCGAGCAAGGTGGAGGTCGTTATTTTGATAATTTGATGGACGTATGTTGTGAGCAATGTGAAGGTAGCAATTATCCAAAACGCGATAGGCATCTGGGATGCAATTTGCAAGCTCAACCGGAGGAGATAAGTGAGCGTGGCCGTGGCGGACGCGACTTGAATGTATCTTTGCTTTGAACTGTGAGTTTTTTTGAAGATAATTGCGTGGTTAACAGCGCAGTATATTTCAGAAAATCTTTTGATTGCCTTCTCGGTTGAATTTTTAGCTGAAATTTGGTATGAGTTAACTAAACTTAATGAATAAGATGCTCAAAGAACTTCATCAAAAAATTCCACCGGGAACCGCCCCAAATGGCAACGGTCGGACAGAGCCTCCTATATAAGGGGTTATTTGGACTTTTTATGTAAGTTCGAGAGCTTATTTGATAGTTTTCCCATTATTTAATTAATTTTATTGTTCAAATATGTGGCAGTTTTTAAGTTTAAAAACCGTCGTGCGTTTTTTTCGCGATGAAACCGTTTGTGGCGGTAAAAACCGCCATGCATGCCTCCAAAAAGCTGTCACAAATTTGAATTCTTTCAGTAGTGCAACATAGTCAGAAAGACTAAATAAAACAATCCAAAGTAAAGTCTCCATATCATGAACAATATATAATGACAAAACATGTGTAATTAATCACATTATTATACCAAACAAAACATTCAACATGTTTGACTCATATTGTTGATCTATTTTATTTAAATTTAATCTTTCATGTCTCTTATTAATAACATGGAGAGATGTTCATTATGAAGGCGTGCAGCCCTTCATAAATCCATACCGGATGATACACATCTTCATTAAGGGGATACTTAATGAAGACGTCCCTCTTCACTTTGGAGATCCTTTGTGAAGGGATGCACCCCTTCATAAATTCATTAATATGTTAATTTCTTACTTTTGTAGACATGATTTTCCACTTTGACATGATTCACATGAAAGTATATGGTCGTTCGTATTTGAA